ACACGCATACCCAAGCAGTTGGTTTAAATTGCTGGGTTGCATCAATTTCATTGAACACTTGTGCAGCAAGTGTTGTCTTTCCGACTCCAGCCATACCAACAATGGCAACTACATCGAAATTGACGGCACCGCACTCTTGTTTCGACAGAAATTCCACGACCCGCCTTTTGTCTTCGTCCCTTCCAATCACAGGTCCATCTGGTTGACTGGAACTGGGAGATAAACTTTCACGTGCCTTAGTGGACGACGTCGTCCCAGTAATGATATTCAAACTAAGCTGGTCTTTTCGCTGAGATATCTCTTGTAAACGCTCAGTAATCTTCTGTATTTCTGAGTTCATTTTGTAGTTGAAAACACCATTAGGAACTGAGTTCCAGACCCTTCTTGCGGTGCCGGCATAATGTCCCAGCTCTATCTCCCGTTTGAGCATTTTAGTAGCATATTTGTCCAATACGTCTTCCACGTCATAAGCTAAGTCCCTGAGATCATCCAGCCAAAGCTTCAGCGGCTTGCTCTCGGTGATTAGTTGCCTCTCCTCCGCCTCATTCAGAACCGCTCCAATCGAAGACAAGGTGGCAGTCCATTTCTGCAGCTTTTGGTCGACGCCCTTTATGAGTCCGAAGTACTTGAACACCTCACGACGCCCCAACTTGTCGACCAGCACTTGAAGGAAAGCCACAAGATAAGCGTCTCCCATAGTTTCTGAAGAGAAGCAGCTTGATTAGAAATGCATTAACTGAAACAAGCTAAATTAGAAATGCATCAAAGAAAAGGAATTCTGAGCAGGTAAAATAAAATACAAGAAACAAAAAGACGCAAAAAACAAAAACAAAAAAAAAACAAAAAAAAAAAAAGGCACCGAACGGAATAAATCAGAAGTACCTGCAGTTTAAGTATATGATATATATATCAGCAGCAGATTTCTTCACGAATTACCGAATGTGTCGCAATGAACAAGAAGGAAAATTCAAAGGCAATACACAGTTACACACTTATAGAACCAAAGAGATCAAGAGAGCCAGAACCAAGACATAATAAATATGAAGATGGATTAAACTTATGTGGGAGAAACTAATTATGGGTTTGAGAATTTTGAGTGTGAGATGTTATGATGAGAAGATATCTCTTTTGTTTTGTTTTCTTTTGTTTTTTTCTTCTGGGTCAATGGAAAAGACTCTGAAACAAAGACTCTGGTACAAAACACAAGAGAAGAAAATAGTATTTGTCGTCTGATAGATAAGGAAAACGCAATGCAAATTCCCCAAGACTTTTTATCCGGCACGTCACAGAAAAAGTAGAAAGCCTTTTGTTTTTTTTGGGTCAAAAGGAAAAGTAGAAGCTGATAATTGAGTTTTGAATAGTGTGTCTAGTCTATTCTAATGGCCCAGCTCCGGCTCCACCTCATGCTGCGTCCTTCTGTCTGTCTGTTTGATCCTGACATGGTCTTTTTTTAAACTCACTCACATACACTTGCTTTTGTCCAGCCACATATTATGATTAAACTGTGATGAGGTTGGTCGCATTCCCTCACTCTCATCTCATGGAAATTCAAAGGGGCCCTAATAATTAATATCATTTTAGTCCACCAAGTCTCCTCCAAAGCACGTATGGAGAACACAAATAAGCAACAGCAGGAAAATAGATGCTTGTTACATGGTGTCTCCAGTGTTAATACTAGTAGCCGTTTGGTGTCAATATGACTGATTACAATTTCTGGATACGGAGTATATACCATAGTCTCCAACAACAGTTATTTATGTGATCTGATGCGTCACATACCACCATTGTTACAAATATGGATGCAAGCTGTCGAGCAAAATAAGGACCTAGCATAAAACATGCCCTATTTTATGGTTTAAAGCACAACAGTTGAGATATTTATGATAAAGTGATATTCTAAACTAACCAAATTATAAATATTTGGGTGTAAGGGAATGATGATCGAACTTGAGTACAAGGCTAAACTAACCTTAGCAGACCTAAATAACAACTTTGCCAACAATGGTTATAAATTCCCTTACAATGGCTATAAATTCACATTTGGTTAGTTTAGATATTTATGACAAAGTGATATTCATGAGATAAAAACATCAATGGCTATAAATTCATCATTCCCTTACATGTAGTTAGTATATTATCAATAAAAAAAATGTATAACTGAATTTTCAATCAAGTCTGGTAGTCTAATGGCCCTACTCTAGTTGCTTCTTTCTCACTACGTTTGATAATGAAATGGTCTTTTTCCAACTCTTTCACTCTTGCTTTTGTCCAACCACGAATTCACCAATAAATTTATAGTTTAAATGTATGGGCAATATATCAACTTGTTCGAACTTGGTTTTCTTAAATTCATGATGTAGATATTAGTCACATAATCATTTTATTAAACAAAAGGTTAAGAACTTGCTCATTTCAACCTTGATTGTGAGCAAGAATCAAGACATAATATATATGAAGATGGATGAAACTTATGTGGGAGAAACTAATTATGGGTTTGAGAATTTTGAGTATAAGATGTTATGATGAGAAAATATCATTTTTCTTTTTCTTTTGGGTCAATGAAAAAGACTCAGAAACAAAGTCTTCACTACAAGACACAAAACGAGAAGAAAATAAAGTTCGTCATCTGATGGATAAGGAAAACGAAATGCACATTCCTCAAGACTTTTTATCCTGCCAACACGATTAACATAGTCATAAAGGCTATGACATTAATGTCCACCCTTAATTTACTTGTGGAAGAAATTAAGAAAATTTTGTTAGATATGCAAACGTGGGTTAAGTCAGTTGGCCATGGTAGTGTGCCTGCTCTTTTGCACCAAAATTCAGTGTGCCTGCTCTCTTACACCTAAGTTCGATCTCCCTTCTTATACATTAGGTTAATTTACAATATTGCTTTGTCAAAAAAAACACAAAAAAGGTTAGATATTTATGATCAATTTGGAGATTTAGGAGCAATATTTTTTGAAGAAATAGGAAGTTGCCTACATTAAAAATAGAAAGAAAAAACAGCAGAAAACTGATAACTGAGTTTTCAATCAAGTCTAGTGTTAGTCTAATGGCCTAGCTCTAGCTGCTACTTTCTCACTCTGTTTGATAATGAAATGGTCTTTTTTCAACACATTCACACGTGCTTTTCTCCACCCACTACGTTATGAATTTACCAATAAAATTTATTGCCAAATATATGAACCCCTTCTTTGGACAACAACGACCTTGAAATTGCAAAAGACCTTAAATTAGTTCGTTCAGGGTGCCACTGGCTCCATAACCAACAGGTACAGGGTCCTTCTTAAGCCTTTTCTTCAACGCAAAATGAACATGTGCTATCAATCCACCTTTTTCGACGAAAAAAAGAAGAAGAAAAAAAGCATGTAAATCAAAGTAAAAGAATTTTTTTTTTTTTTTTTTAACTTTTTTATACAAAAGTTCCAACTATTTTGCAAGTTCAAGCAACCGTAACATGATAGACTTGTGCAATTACACACGAGAAAGTTGAAAGTATCTAGCAAACTTGTGTCTATTACACACATAATCCTATATGTTAGCAAACTCATTTTATGTTGAAAAACAAATTATCAAGTACTATTATGTATCTTGTTTGAAAAATCAAACATCTAATAGTAATTGAGTGTTACTAACTTTTTTTATACAAATATTTTACTTTGGCTGCCTAAATGTTTTAGCATTATGGGCAACACTTTAATGGGCTGAGCAACAGCACCTCTCAAAAATGGAAATTAAAGGCTATTCTAAAAATTGGATCCAAATCCTACAATGTCAAACTTCAGTTCCCTTGAGATTGCATTCAAGTATTTAGTGACCTATTTGATAACTATTTCAATTTTAATTATTAATGTTTATTTTTTGTGCTAGAGTGTAGAGTGAAAAGGGAGAGTGTGAAAGTGAGAACAAGAATAAAGATTAGATTAAGAGGGAAGATGATAGGAGAGGATGGGAGGGAGGAGTAACAAAAGTGAAAACTAAAACTAAAAACTGAAATCTATTTGAATTTTTTTTCACTTTCAAGGTTTTTTTTTTCACTTTAAAGATTTAAAGATTCGTTTGATAACCATTTCAGCTTTAGTTTTTTATTTTTATTTTTTATGCTAGAGTATGAAAGAAAATGAGAGTTAGGATGAGATTGAGAGAGAGGATGATAGGAGACATGAGAGAGAAAAGTAACAAAAGTGAAAACAAAACTTGAAAGTGAAAACAATTTCAAATATATTTTAATTTTTAATTTTTGTGTTCACTTTTATTACTACTTTCTCTCATCCTCCTCTCTAATCTTCTCTCTTAATCTCATCTTCCCTCTCATTTTTCTCTATACTCTAACACAAAAAATAAAAAATAAAAAATAAAAAATAAAATAAAAATGGTTATCAAATGGACCTTTAGTTTTTTGGTTTTAATATCCGTTGGGACTTACTTTTTTTTTTTTTGGTAATTTATTTTGTATTTCTAATAATAATAAATAAATAAAAAGTAGAACATTTGGGTGCCTAGAGAATTTCTCATTCGGACACCACTTACTATGTATGGACAAAAATGGGCCCAAAAGCCCTCGGCCTTTAAAACCAACACGAAACTGAGCGCACTTGAGCATCTCCAAGGGAGGTGTCAAATACCAAACATCAAATTAAAATTTGATTGCTGATGTGGCAATTTGACATTTACATATTTTTACACTCCACCCGATATGTCAAATAAATAATTATTGTAACAGTCAAATCATTTAAGATAAAGAAGAAAAAAAATAAAAAAGGAAAATAATAAATGAAAGTAATAGTCAACTGTCTTTAAAAAATAATAAAATATTCATTTGACATCTTACTTTTGGATGTCAAAAATAACATCTCAACCTCTAGCCTTCATTCCACATCAGCTTTGACATATCGGTTGGAGTGGTGTAAAATGTTATTTTTAACTGTTAAACATCTACGTGGCACGTTTGACATCTCGTTGGAGATGCTTACCTGCCTGCCCCTTCGTTTCTCTCTCTCTCTCTCTCTCGTAATTTCATATCGCCGACTGTACCCAGCTGAACGCAAATCACCACAGTCATCACCAGCAGAAGAAAGAGAAGAGACGATGTTCAGGGACGTGTCGAGCTGTAACACCTATAACTATGGCGACGCCTTCTATTGGGACGCCCGCTATGTCGAAGAAGGAGGCTCCTCCGCCCTTTTGTCCGAAACTACATACCAACCTCCTCTCGGGTTCTCATGGTCGGCTGTGGCAATGCTGGTAATTTACCCTCTTTCTCCGTTGCTCTTTTCTTCATTGTTTGTTTGTAAAGCTATTCCCTTTTGAGAGTTTTAATCCGCAGGTTCTAGAGCTTCTTTCTTTCTCTGCATTAGTGCTCTGTTTGCTCTGTTTGGTTTGAGAGAAATTCTTAGAAAAAATATAGAAAATAAGTTTTTTGATTTGGGATGTTGGGTTTTTTTGGATAATCGTTCTTATATTTTTCATTGACAACCGGGCCCTTTTGGGTTTGTTCTGTTAGAGTATAATTGGTTCCCAAAACTTCAGTGGTTTTGAACATTCATCATTTAATTTTAGCTACTTTTTGGTAATTTTGACCTGTGTTTGAATTATGGAGAAGTTGTGACAAAATCAAAGAAATTGGGTTTTAGGGTTATTGCTGGTTTAGTGGTTGGACCTTGTTCTACTCCAATTTCCCCCCCTGTTATTTCTGGGCAGTTGTGCTTGAGCTTGAATTCCCCAAATTAAGGTTCTCTCTTACTCCTGCCCGCATTCTCTCTGATAGTTCCATCTGTTTTGGTATATGGATACATGAATCACCAGAGGGGATGCATTCTGTCTAGGCCCTAGAATGAAACTACAAGTAACAACATATCATTTGATCTCACACTAATTAGACAATTGATGTCGAAAGTAATAATGTACCTGATGCAATTAAGGTGCTTTGGCGTCCCTAAACATGGCATTGCCCTTGCCATCTATAGATGAAGAACTGTTGATGTAAAAATGATTCATTTCTCACATCTATAATTTCATTGGATTTAGATATTTACTATCTACTTGTTGAGTGAAATTCTGATGGAAAAATCTTCTCTTGTAGTTATGTCTGAGGACATGGTTGCGGATGGATATGAAGACGTAATGAATGTTGACATTTCATCAGTGGCCATTGACATGATGAAAAGAAAATATGAGCACATACCTCAGCTGAAATGTATCCTTTTGAAAACTTACTTCATTAAAATTACCAGTACAATTTTGTACTGCATTATCTTTAGTAAATATTGCAGACTCTAGGCATGTTTCCTATACAATTAGACATGCAAATGGATGTTAGGGATATGAGTGTCTTCCCAGATGAATCATTTGAAGGTGTCATTGATAAAGGTATGTATCATTTCTTTGTTTTAGTAATTTTAGAATACACAATACTGTAGACTAATTTTTTCTTTTTTGTCTTAATAAAACTGTGTTGCTGTCACCACTTTTTTGCACCTGTGGTCTGTCAAAGGAACTCTTGATTCACTGATGGTATGATGTCTGTTGTGATGTTCTTATGACTCCTCTTAGTCATTACTCAAATTCGATATGCTATTAATCTTTCTTTTCTTCTTCATCACTCTGCCTTCCAAATCCTAGAAAACACTAACAAAAATGAGTAGGTTGTAGACTTTAAGACTCAATTGACAGCTGCAATTTTTTATATTACTGGATCAGTACACAATTTTTTTCTATTTAAAATTTATTCATTATTGTTTACTTTTATAATCCGTCACTAATCACACTTGTTATTTTGCTTGTAGGCTTCTTAAACCTGGAGGGATCTATTTGTTGGTAACTGTGCACCCTTAGATGTGGCTTTATATTTTACATCGTTCTTTCTTTTATTGAAATCTCAAAATACATAATCTGTTCTTAAACTGCCACAGCAGATAACCTATGGTGAAGAAAACAGGAACTCTGAGCTTTGCTGAAAAAAAAAACAAAACAAAAAACAAAACAAAACAAAACGAAAAACAGGAACTTTGAGCAGATAAATACGGATGCAAGCTGTCGAGCAAAATAAGGACCTAGCATAAAACGTGCCCTGTTTTACGGTTTAAAGCACAACGGTTGTAGTAGAAGTAGAACTAAGATAAATACATCAATGGCTATAAAGTCACCTTTGGTTAGTTTAGATATTTATGAGAGAGTGATATTCTAAACTAACCGAATGTAAATATTTGAGTGCAAGGGAATAATAATCGAACTTGGGTGCAAGGCTAAACTAACCTTAGCAGACCCAAATAACAACTTTGCCAACGATGGCTACAAATTCCCTTACAATGGCTATAAATTCACATTTGGTTAGTTCGGATGTTTATGACAAAGTGATATTCATGAGATAAATACATCAGTGGCTATAAATTCATCATTCCCTTACATTTGGTTAGTTTAGATATTTATGACCCATTTGGAAATTAGGAGCAATATTTTCATGAGGGATGCAGATTTTTATTAGCTTAAATATGAACGAGATTTTACGAGCACCGATAGTCCTTTTCCAACATGCTAGACAGCATAGGAAGTTTCCTACTTTAAAAAAAGATAGAAAAAAAATATATATAACTGAGTTTTCAATCAAGTCTAGTGCTAGTCTAATGGCCAAGCTCCAGCTGCTTCTTTCTCACTCTGTTTGATAATGAAATGGTCTTTTTTCAGCTCATTCACACTTGCTTTTGTCCAACCACGCTATGAATTCACCAATAAATTTATTGCCGAAATGTAATTTGCTGTTTGAACTGGCAACACATTCTTGGGGTCCTTGATGTAAGATCTGAGTTCTTTTGGATCTCATTGTATTAATTGGTTGTGTTGTCTTCTCTAATTCTCATAATTCTTTATATTGTGGAACATGTGGGTCGATTATGCACATTGAGTTGGAATTCAAAAGATACAATATTAGAGCATAAGGTAGATGAACACAGTTCATGACTGTTTCTAATTTAATGATAGTGTACCTTTGGTTGTTTTTGTCTCATGTTATATAAGTTTTTCATTGCAGAATGCACATATGAAATCTGCTTCCCACTCATGTAATGGCTATACAGTTGTCATGATGTTATGTGGTTCCCAGTTTGTTATATGGTTTGTTTACACCATAATTAACCAAGCGTGATTGAGCACCAAG